ATTTTCCTTTTACCTGTGTGTTTATCCTATCTCTTCAACAGGATTCTAAGGTGTAGAAGGACAGACTGTTTTTTACAGCTTAAAAAAATTTTTTAATGCTTTTATTTGAAAAAGTTAATTATTCCTAAGCTAGTTTCCTGAAAAAGTTGACCAGTCCATTAAGTTCATTCCAGTGTTGTCCAGCAACCCCTCTTTGGTGAACTGCAATGTAACTGGTTTATTTTTTTTATTAAAAATTATTTTTCATTATTTTTTTATGGCTCTTTTATCCTCAGAACCTAACACAATACCTTTCACACTGTGTATTATTGTGTGTTTTATGGGAGGTGATGTTGGTGATGGTGATGATGCCAATTCAGTGCACTGACCCCTATCCCTGCAGATTACCTCTTTGTGGGACTATTACCCTTAAGCTACCAGAACCCCTTTTTACATACAAAGCTGAAGTACTACCTGGAATTAAGCCACCCCCACTTTAACTTAATGACTGTGGGTACAAGTATCAATTCTCCTGCTCTTATGGCCTTTGGTTGGGTCAGCACTGGAATGACCTACACTGTCTTCTATATCCCCTCTGAATTTAGGTCAAATTGTATTTTGTACCCTTACTTGGGCTTCTTTCCTTTCCTCTCACTCGCTTACTGGTTTTTCCTGGGAGCACTTCCTAAATAAATCATTTTCACATGACTTCTAGTCTAAGCTTCTGCCTTTGAGGGGGTGGGGGAAGAGCCAACCTAAGACACATAATAATAATGTGATAGTAGGAATAACAATAATCAATATTATTTACTGAATATTTTCCATGTGCAAGGTATTAACTCATTTAATCATCAAAATTAGGTAGGTACTGTAGTTATATACTCATTTACAGGTTAGGAAAATGAAGCATATATGGATTAAGTAATTTGCTCCCGGTCACACAGATAGCAAAAGAAGAAACTGAAAAAAAGAAAAGGATAAGCCTGCAGGGCAAGGACAGTAGGGGATCAAATAAAATAGAAATAAATTAATTTCAACCAAATTACTACTTAAACCCTGTGGGCTAGTTAGAATCTAAACCAGAGAGGAAGGGAGAGGGAGAGAGAGATAAAAACATTAATGGCATTGCCTCCTATATGCCCCACACTGGGGATTGAGCCTGCAACCTGGGCATATGCCCTGACTGGAAATCAAACTGTTACCTCCTGGTTCATAGGTTGGTGCTCAACCACTGAGCCATACTGGCTGGTCTCAGATATTTCCTACATGGAGGTTATTTCCTTCCACCTGACTTCTGTTCCATTCCTGCTCTGTTATTTATATGACAATATTTATTGAGTTTCTACTGCATGCTGTGCCCTCTGGCTTCTAGGGAAACAGTTGGTATATTGTCCGGAACATGATGGGTATTCATTAATATTGTATTTGCTTCCTTTCCACCGACATTGACATTCATATGGACTTGCCATATCTGTTCTGATGTCTCTTCTAGTAAAATAGTAAAGTATCAGAAGGAGGTGGGGTTGCAATGTAATGGAGGCAGAGCGGAATATGCTTCGCATGCAGGAGATTCACCATAGACATTTCTTGGTATTTCCATGCCTGATTGTAACTAAGAACTGGCAAATACAGCAACGACAGCCTGATAAGAGTGTGATAATCAGGGACTCAAAACCCTCAGTGATGAGTGCCTGGGCCAATTCATCAGTCCAGCACCTACAGCAGCAGAAGTGATATCTCTAGTGGAGGAGGATCCAGAAAGTGTGGTGGAGGAGCGAGATAATGAGTATCAGTTATAGCCTTGGGACCAGCTGTAGCAGTATGGTCTGTAATTAATCCCATTACCCTCCTCTTATGAAATTTTCCCAGAAATTTTGACTAAGACAAATTATGGAGAAACTGTGCTTGGATACAGTAACTTAATGTGAAAAGTAAGTGATCTAAGCAAAGGCAGGCTATAGTGAATTCTGTTTGTGACCTGCCCAAACCCATTTTCTAAGCTAGTGCATCTCTAGTCTAGCTGCTATGAGTGTTAAATAGCAACTCCAAAACAGGAGAATTGTCTTTGGCCAAAACAGGAGCCATCCCATTGATGAGGCTCTGCTGCCTTCCTGCCCCTGAAGATCTGGTCCAATAGCATAGGGCAGTGGTCAGTAAACTGTGGCTCGTGAGCTGCAGTTTGCCGCTCTGTTGATTAATGAGTTTGCCGACCACTGGCATAGGGGTACAAAAAACTACATTTTTGGTTAACACTGCTGGAGAATTTTGTGGGATTAGCTGAGTCTCATTCTTTCTTCTTTTTTTTTTTAAATATATATTTTATTGATTTTTCAGAGAGGAAGAGAAAGGGATATAGAGTCAGAAACATTGATGAAAGAGAATCATCAATCAGTTGCCGCAACTAAGGTACATGCCCTTGACCGGAATCGAACCCGGGACCCTTGTCTGCAGGCTGACGCTCTATCCACTGAGCCAAACCGGTTTCGGCTGAGTCTCATTCTTGTTTTCTTGTCTTCCTAGCCAGTTCTGCTTCCTTCCTCCCCTTTCTCCAGAAAGCACTCCCCTAATAAATCAAGGATCCTTGCCTCAGGCTCTATTTTTGGAGAACTTGACCCAACACAGCCTTTACCTAATTTGGTAGGTGAGATTGATGAGAATAGTGTTGAACACTATTTTCTTGCTCGAGCTCCATTCTCTCCTCTTCTAGTATGCCATCTTGTATAAACTCTGCAAAACTAACATTGATGTTACCTACACTTTCTTGCGACCACAGTTCTGGATGCAAATTATTTCTTCCAGTTAAATGTATTCACCAAAATGTGGAAAACTGAACCAAAGCAGAGGCCATATTTTACCCACTTAGGGCTATTTTTTCTGATGGTTTGGGGAAGGTGAGATTTTCTGCAGCAGTGATTCAGCTCTGGGTTACCAGGTCTCATAGTGTAGAGAGGTAATTGATGGCTCTTATGGCAGAGGTTTTCTGATGTTGGCTTCCAAGATCACTGTATTGTAGTAGCTGAGGCAGTGCATTTTTGAGCTTAAGACTTCCAGTGGCAACATCAGAGATGGTACCTCTCCTCTCAGACTGGGCCCCGAATGAATGTGGGAGTCTGTCCTATGCTCAACTTAGAGCCCACTCCTTTGTTCATGCGAATATTTTGTAGGTTCCCAATTCCCTGTAATAAATACCTTTCTGATCTAAAAGGGTAGTGTGATTTTTGTATCCTGCCTTATACTCTGGCTGATCAAAGGAAGATTCTTTAGCTGCAAGAACCCCAGTAAAAGAACCCAATTAAAAAGAGAATCTCACAAATGCATTTATTGGCAAAACAGCTAAGTCTCTTGGGTAAATAGAATGCTCTTTGTTTCTTTTCTAATTACTTACCTACTTGCCTATAGCCTCCACCTGAGAGGTCTTAGTCTTTTAGTCTATATGACCCTTCAGTTGTTTTACTCACAGTTTACCAACAACGTTTCCATGACATAATTCCAAATTGCCAGAAAATCTGGGATATGTATCTTGTTTTAAATAGCTGTGGCCTGAGTGATGAGGTCACATGGTTAGAGTTGCTCCTTACAAGCAGCAACTCTGAAAGGAAATGATGGATATTTCTAGAACACAGCTTTAGAAGGTTGAATTCTCCATTTCCCTGGACTCACACTTCTATCTGGAGGAATTTCTGGTAGAATAAAACTTTAAACTATTGCAATAGGTAGTTTATTACTTTGCTAGGGCTGCCATAACAAAAAATTTAAATTCTTAATTGTAAAAAGTCCTGAGTAAGAAGATGCATACACACTAAAAAGGCCAGGTACCATCCCAGTAAATGGAGAGTACAGCAGAGATTTTGGCAGACCCTGATACCTGGAAATACAGATATCCAGAATGATTCATCTCTCTGTCCCAGCTATCACTTCTTCTTCTTTTTTTTAAAAAATATATTTTATTGATTTTTTACAGAGAGTAGGAGAGAGTGATAGAGAGCTAGAAACGTCGACGAGAGAGAAACATTGACCAGCTGCCTCTTGCACACCCCCTACCAGGGATGTGCCCGCAACCAAGGTACATGCCCTTGACCGAAATCAAACCTGGGACCTTTCAGTCCGCAGGCTGACACTCTATCCACTGAACCAAACCGGTTTCGGCCCAGCTATCACTTCTACTCTCCTTTTCTAGTCACTTTGTCTTGGCTACAAAAACTGAAGCAAGGTATTGGATTCAACTTATATATATTGCCTATCTACTCACAAAAATCTGAAGCTTCTCATCAGGTAAATCATTTGATTGGATTTTGACTCAGGATATATACATTTTATCAGTTTAATATTTAAAATACTTTTGCACTCAATGGAATATTTCACTCTTTAAAACACATATAGATATATAACATTGTTTCTGCTTGGGTTTGGTATACTTCTATGAGGTTTCCTCTGACTTGTACTCACAATTTTTGAGGTCATTGCACTAACATGTATTAATCTTGTTTGCATTTTTCTCTGCTCATCCATGCAAAAGTCTGAGAATGTTGTGCCAAGTGCTATGCTAAGTTCTGGGACTATAAAAATGAATAAAATCATTTTTTAAAACAAGGAATTTAGACTCTTACATGAGGAGACTTATAAATTAACAGAAAATCATTGTAAGTACTTTCTCAGTGGCTTTGTTTCCATTGGAAAGGAGGGCAAGGACCTTTATTGTCTTTTTCTCTGCTGTTATCACTAGTATCTAATACACAGGGCACTCAATAAGCACTTAAGTGAATGAATGTGCTAAAATAGTTATACACAAAGGGACATCTTCCTGGTTTTATGTGTGGAGATTTGACTGGAGGGTGAGGTGAGGGTGTCACTTCAACGGTATAATTTAAAAAACTCTTGAAAAAGATTTCTGAGTTGAAACCTGGGAGGTAAAGGAAGTTAAATATATATATAGGGTTTGGCATTGCTTAAAAATTCCTCTGATGGTTGTCCTGTGATGCCAAGAGTCTGTAGAGGTATGCGGCAAAAATATCTGAAAGGCCTTGTAGACTGCAATATTTATTTCCACTTTAATATCTACAAGAATACGCTGACTTCTTTTTTACTTGTCTATCCACACTGGTAGCTCATCCATGCAAAGACAGTTACCCAAGCACTTAGTATCATGATGGAGAAAGAGTAGCTCCTCATTCCCTGAATGAATAAATGAGTAACAGCAGGGTGAGCATTGTGCAATGATTAAATCTTGTGGATAGTAAGATGTCAGGAATGTAGTTTATAACGAGGCAGAGCCCTAGTTAAGGGCTTAACTAATGGTGAGTTTAAGTGTCTCATCTCAGAAATAACATCAGACACGTGAGTGTGAGGGGTTTTCAAGTGCCTTCCTAGCGGTACAGTGAAGAAGCACAAATCTAAGCACTCCAGAATTGATTGGGATTTGTCATTTCCAGGTCCCTGTGAGCAGGAAGAGCCTGGCTGGTTAGCCATGGGGTACCCGAACATTGGGTAGACAGGAACAGACTGTTGGATAGCACTCTGTAGCCAGGCTCGGCAAACTAGCAACACCAAAGCTCAGAGTAGGTGCTGGTTCTTCCCGAGCATGGAACGCAGGCGGTGCTCCTGGGACCCTGCGGCTGCCGTGAGCGCCCAGCGGCCGGGTGCTCGGCCCCCGCAGGGAGGAGGCCCAGGGACGCCGAGCGCGATGCTGAACGCCGGCGTGGAGGGCGGAACGCGGCAGGCGGGCCTCCGGGATCGCGCCGGACGCAGTTCTCAGGAGCACTCCCGAGCGCCTCCTGGCCACGTAGGGGGTGAACCTGGCCGAGGGGGAGGGCGGCTGGGGCCTGCAGTTCCCCCTCCACACCCTCCCTCCAAAGACCCATCCCAAGCCGCGGCACCGGCTTCAGTAGAGATCAGAGGGCGCGGCGGCCGCCCGGGGCAAGCCCCTGCCGCCTCCAGGTCACAGCCGCCGGGGCCTGAAAGGAAAACCACCTGCCAAGGACTCTCCTCCGGGCAGGGGCACAGCGCCCCAGCAGCCGGCGGGGTCAGCTCGGGAGGACGCGCTGGGACCCACCGCCACTTCCGGGAGGCCCTGAGAAAGCTGGCCCTCCTGGACGGCCCTCATCTCTCCTCCGATTGGCTGGTTTCTCTCGGGCGGAGCTGCCCTCGCTGGTGATTGGACCAGCTGCACCGTCTGTCACCCGCCTCCGTGGGAAGCGGGTGCAGAGGGGAGCGTTCCTCGTGGCCGGGAAGAGGTTGGTGGGGCTCGAGCCCGGTCTGTTTGTTGTCGTGGAGCCCGCACCCGGCGCGAGCCTCCGTTGCAACCGCCAGAAAAGGAACCAGTAGCCGTATGGCGGGCGGGGGTGGCAAGAAGTGCAGGTTTAGAAGTAAGTTGGAGCCACCTAACCCTGGCAGCATCCGAACGGGGACGCGATAGGAAGGCAGGCCTGGGACCGGGAGCTGTGATCCCAGGAGAGGGACAGTGTAGGAGGCAAGGCCTGGATTCTGTGGCGAGGAAAAGGCCTTGGGGGAGCTTTTCATGATCGAATTATTTGGGGATCTAATTTTCTAGGTGAGCGTCTAACAAAATCCACTGGAGATTTTGCTTTGATTTTGCAGCAGGGTGGGGGACTACCCGCGGCTCCTAACCTTCGAAGAGACGACTTATTATTAAATACTTTAACTATCTTTTATTGCTTCAGATGGGCAGCTTCAAAAACACAAAAACCATTGAAAGATGGATACCATTGCATATATTAAAAGCATGTTGAAAGGAAAATTAGGTATTCATTTTGATTTAGTTATAGTTGATTATACAAGAAAATTACCTTTGAGGAAAAGCTCTTAAGTTTATGAATACTATCCAGGATAGCTTGATTTTATGATAGGATTCAAATTCTTAAATTGTTTAACATAAAAATCATATTATTGATGTACCTACCAAATATGCTCTTTACTAATGATGATCTTAGTCCTATTATTCTGAAAATAAAAAGAAATCTTGAGTCTTAAGATTTCTTTCGAGTCTTAAAATGTTAATTTGCATTTGGTTGGATAGTGCTCCTAGATCTTTCCTTAAAAATGATGTAATAATGACTAAAAAAAATCCTTGAATTGTAATTTAATGTTAGAATATGCATGGAATTGGATTTTGTTTACTCATACAATAGTTTAGACCTGTAGGCTGATTTCACTTTAAAGTAGTTTGCACCCTAGATGCGTTGGCTCAGTGGATAGAGCATCGTCTGCAACTGAAGTCCTGGGTCCAAGGTTTGATTGTGGTCATTGGGTCCTGCATGCTCCTCCCCGGCCTCTGCCTGGTAGCGGTTTGGGCAGGAGGCAACCAATCGATGTTTCTCACATCAATGTTTCTCTCAGTTTTCCCCTCTTCTACTCTCTCTAAAAATCAATGGAAAAATATCCTCGGGTGAGGGTTAAATATAAATAAATAAATAAAGTAGTTGGTTTATTAAACACTGAGAGTCACAACTGTTGCTTCATTGGCAACATAGTCATTTAATCGTCCAGCCTCTATTAAGTCATGTGTTATATCACATACCAGAAGTGGTTAAGGAATGATTTCATCCACAGAAACACCCAAGTTAGCACTTAAAGATTGACTTAGTCCTACCCTGGAAAATTCTGACCAAGGATTAGGGATAAGATCTGGGCATCTGTGTTTCTTAAAATTTTCTCGTGTGAGTTTGATGTGTACTCCTAGTTGACAACTGTTGCTTTAATGATTTACTAAATAGATTTGTTTGGCCCAGCTCGTGTTTAGTTGCTCAGTGGTCAACCCACGAACCAAGAAGTTTGATTCCCAGTAAGGGCACTTGCCCAGGTTGTGAGCTCCATCCCCAGTGAGGGTTGTGCAGGAGGCAGCCAATCAACCAGTGATTCTCTCTCATCATTGATGTTTCTCTCTCTCCCTCTCTCCTCCTCTCTATAAAAATCAATAAAAATTCTAAAATATTTATGAAACAAATAATTTCTTCCCCTTGATATTCTAATAATTTAAAATTAAGCTGCTCAGGAATGACATTTAAATATAATCCCAAAGATAGTGTTTGCCTAGAAACATCTGGGACTAGACCATTCCAGGTTTAGGGATGAGGTTTCGGAGAGGGAGACACAAAATGCTTTGACACACTTAAACAAACCTCAGTGCCATGCCTTGGGTATTTTTTCCTGTTAGACTTAAGGAGACATCAACTATAAGTCTATTCTAAGTTAGGCAACCCTGCTGAGAACCGCTGCTGTAGAGCCTAGGACAATTGGAAAACAGATTTTACATTATGATTCATTAACAGTAGCAAAATTACAGTTATGAAGTAGCAACGAAAATAATTTTATGGTTGGGGTCACCATAACATGAGGAACTGTATTAAAGGGTTGCAGCATTAGAAAGGTTGAGAACCACTGATCTATTCAATAAATACAGTCTGCTAAATTATTTTTACCTCAACAAAAGTATAATTGGATGAGGGTGGGGGTTCTAATATTAACATTTATGAGCTTTATTTTGGGAAGAATACCCTTGCTCAAAATAAATGTAAATAATACATTTCTAATAGCCATTTGCTTATTAAAAAAAAAAGGATGTGTATGATTCAAGCTTAAAATTTGTTAACATGAAGAACCCAGATATTTGAAACATTAATGAAGGCTTTTAGACCAACTGTACTTGAGAGTCAAAGGGTAAAAAATGAGATAATCACTTTGGTATTCAGGTATGAGATGTGTGGTGAAACCAAAGCCAGTTTGACTTAAATGATAGCTTTAGGCAAAGAAGTAGGTCCAATTGTGTTCTAATTCCTAGAAGCTGGTTTTAATTTTATATGTAAGTTCCTCACTGTAAGATTTGGCACGTGAAATCTTTGAGTAGGAGACAAAATTTTTAAATGAGTTTAAAAAAGCTCGCCGGGACCGGTTTGGCTCAATGGATAGAGCGTCGGCTTGGGGACTGAAAGGTCCCGGGTTCGATTCCGGTCAAGGGCATGTACCTTGGTTGTGGGCATATCCCCAGTAGGGGGTGTGCAAGAGGCAGCTGATCGATGACTCTCTCTCATTGATGTTTCTAACTCTCTATCTCTCTCCCTTCCTCTCTGTACAAAATCAACAAAATATATTAAAAAAATAAAAAATAAAAAAGCTAAGTTAAAAACATGAAGCCATGCGTAGTCTGTGACTAATACCTTGAATTTTATAATCTTGTTTGAACAGAAAGCCAGGAATCTCAGAATGAATCAGTCTAGATCTACATCAGATGATGGTGGTGAAGAAACCTTATTTCAAGACCATGATCATCCTGAAAATGAGAGAAGATGGCAACAAGAGCGTCTCCACAGAGAGGAAGCTTATTATCAGTTTATTAGTGAACTCAGTGATGAAGATTACCGGCTAATGAGAGACCATAATCTTTTAGGCACCCCGGGTAAGTGATGGTAAAAGAGGAAACACCTTTTTCATCATCAAAGAAGAATTTCGAAATAAGGAGAATTTTTTCCCCCCTTCTTCTTCCTTCCAAAATATCCTGTACTTTTTTTTAATCCTCACTTGAGGATATGCTTATTGATTTTAGAGAGAGGGGAAGAGAGAGAGAGAGAGAAACATCAATATAAGAGAGAACATCGATTGGTTGCCTTCTGTATGTGTCTAACTGGGTATGTGCCTTGACCAGGAATTGAACCCACAATCTTTCTGTATATAGGAGGATACTTCAAACAATTGAGCTACACTGGTAAGAACTTTTTAATATAACAAAATAGAAAATCATAGGTTTGTGTATTTTATAAATAGGTAAGAATATTATACATAGAGCACCGTTATACAACTGCCAAACTGACAGGTTAATGTACATAATATTTACATAGGTGGTCCTATTTTTATAAAATTATTGTAGTTGTGTGTCTGTCCCCTCTCCCCCCTGCTTATCCATAGTTTCTCTTTCCGAGGTTTCAGTTATCCAAGGTAAGAAATAAATTTCGCTGAAGCTGGTTTGGCTCAGTAGTAGAGTGTCGGTCCGCGGACTGAAAGGTCCCAGGTTTGATTCCAGTCAAGGGCATGTATTGTACATTGGTTGCGGGTACATCCCTAGTAGGGGGTGTGCAAGAGGCAACTGATCGATGTTTCTCTCTCATCAACGTTTCTAGCTCTCTATCCCTCTCTCCTCCTCTCTGTAAAAAAATCAATAAAATATATATTTTAAAAAAAAGAAATAAATTTTCATGCCATTCTGATTACCATTAAGAAACCTTTTTTAAAAAAAATATATCTTATTGATTTTTTACAGAGAGGAAGGGAGAGAGATAGAGAGTTAGAAACATCAATGAGAGAGTCATTGATCAGCTGCCTCTTGCACACCCCCTACTGGGGATATGCTGGCAACCAAGGTACATGCCCTTGACCGGAATCGAAACCGGGACCTTTCAGTCCCAAAGCCGACTCTCTATCCATTGAGCCAAACCGGTTTCGGCCATTAAGAAATCTTATGCTGTCCTGCGCTGGATGTAAACCATCCCTTAGTCTATCATATCACCCTGCATACATTACCCATCCATTACTCACTTAGAAGTTGTCTCTGTTATTAGGTCAACTGTGGTGATATTGGGGTATTTATGTTCAAATAACTCTTATTTTACTTAGTAATGGCCCCAAACCATTCACTTCATTATAGTATATTTTTATAATTGTATTATGATAGTTGGTGTACTTAATTTATAAATTAAACTTTATCATAGATATGTATATATAGGAAAAAACATACTATATATAGGGTTTGATATTATGCATAGTTTCAGACATCCACTGGGTGTCTTGGAACTTATCCCCTAAGGATAAAGAGGACTCCTGTAGTTAAAACCCAATTGTAACTTATTTGAAGCATTATAATTAATTTAACTGATTTAATAACTACCAAAAAAGTCCAATGTGCTCTATAAATTTTTTATAAATTTATTTTACAAATGAACTCATTGAAATTTGTATGCTTGTATCAATATATTATATATTTATATAGAGCACATTTGCATATTGTATATTGATGACCTATGTAATGAACTATTGAAGTTCAAGTAAATAAACATTAGAAATTTTCTCTATAAATACTCCCTTAATTTCTT